TACAGGCTTACATCAAGCTCAACACTAATCACTCTCGATATACACTTTTCATTACTCGCTCGTTCAACTCAATCCCACGTGTACAAAAAAAGATCTCTTCTTTTGTCTCTTGTCAGTTTTAAGTAAATATTAACAGCGTCGCACGCTTATTACGTAATCATATTCTCGACAACAAGTTGTTTGTGGCTGTTTGCTTTAGCAGCTTAATACCCAGAACTGGAGATGTTTCTGTTTTGTTTGTGGAACGAACTGAGCTCGCTGTCTTCATAATAGTAATTAAGCAAATTCTAACTGAATTCAAGAAAACAAACCTGCTTGAAAAACTTTCGCAAATTTTTGGCATGTGAGATTCAAGTAACATACGTCATAGATAACACTGTACGTTATCCTCTTATACAGCAATCAATGACTGCATACCGTGTTCTCTGGCACGAATTTACAAACAAATACATGAATCCAAATTTATCTTGTGTAAGTTACATGAAAATTGCACGCATGCTGGCGAACTGCCATTTAGTGCCTTGCAAAATTTTGTGTATAAGCTGGTGAATTATCGTTAGTGCTCGCAATTTTTCGTTAACTTATCAAAAAATTTGAAGAAATGTCGTCTTTTGTTCTAGCAAATTATCACTCAACAGGCCGCAAAATTTCAATTAAACTTTGGAGCAAACTTTTGCACATTTCGCTGTATGCCAGGATAGTTTCTTATGCAAAGTGGAGTATCAGGTGTTTCTTTCTGCACTTTTATCCTTTCATGTCTCTTTATTTCATTGTTATTTTCCCTCACCCTCCCTAATTTTTCCTGGGTGCCATAGCATGAATATGTCCCAAAATAAACTAACATACATATGGAAACAGGTATGTCAGAAAAAATGGTGAAGCACTAGCATTAGGAAACACTTCTGACTGGTTCTACAGAGAGGAATACCAAGTTCACCTCACATTCACATGCTTATGTAGTTAGAAAATGTACCAGTATTTGGAGTTGATGATGATGCTATTGTTACAGAGTTTATTGATAACATTATTTGTTGTCAGTTGCCAGTTAATGACCCGGAGCTGCAAAAGCTGGTTAACAGGCAGATTCACAGGCCTTCTCATACCTGTAGAAAGAAATCAAAGAATAAATTTTGATTTAATTACCCAAAACCACCCATAAGGGCAACTGAAATACTTTATCCTTTAAAGAATAATACACCTCGACACAACATAAAACAACACAAAGACACCTGGAAAACTATTTAAAAAATTAAATAACTTGAAAGAAGGTGAACGTATAACATTTGAGGAACTGCTTCTGAAGTTAAATCTTACTGAAAGTAACTATAAATTGGCCATAAAATCAGCATTTAACTTTCCGACCATATTTTTAACGCAACAACCAAATGAATTAAGGATCAATAATTATAATGTTAATTGTCTTAAGGCACGGAGAGCAAATATGGATATCTAGTTTGTCCTAGAAGGGGCCAAGATCGATCTAAAACTGGACAGCATCTTTTAAAGCATTTCAGTCCTCCACATGGATGAGTAATTCAAAAGCCATGTCATAGTGAAAAAGTATCTCTTAAGAAAAACATAAAAAGGTCAATGAAAGACAGAAAGCACTGGTTTACTCACCACAATACCCTCTTCTCAACTCCTTCTGTGAAACAGCGTGAAAGCAAAATGTCTCAAGTGACCTCTCTCTTCGGGAAGACTTCAACTCAGAACCAGTGTGTCTTGAAGGGACAGTAATGACACTAATCTCGAATTTAGTGACACTAATAAACCGCCTAAAGCAAAAATATTCACCCCCTTTCTTCTCAAACACTTCAACTCAGAACTGCACTGCTCAGAATTTCAAATGGCGTTAATTTTCGTAATACATTGTATTTTCCACTGGCTGAGGAATGAAATAAGTGGAAAATGTTTTCTCACACACTGCTGGGGCCTGGGCCCAAGGGCTTGTTTTTTGAGTCACATGCTCAGTGTTGTTTGTCAGTTGCTTTTTTGCTGTCCACCATTGCTGATGAATATTTCAGAGCCCAGTCCCCACCCAACCCTTTGTGTGAGTTTTCCTATGTTATATTTTGTGTTTAAGTTTTTGAAGAAATCAGACAGAGTAATTGATCTATTGTGAAGTTTGCTGGTGTATATGTAATAGCACATATACAACATGGTGTAATTGAATTTTCTACTTCAGGAATATTTGAAGAGTTCACCTGCCACAAATCTCTGTTAAAAATTCCTGTTTTAAAGAACTGCAATTAATGCAAGATATTCAAATGCTGCTGAAGACACTAACAAAAAGAGATGTCCAAACATTTAGAGCAAGTTAAAGATTCTGGACATGCCGCTAAATTGGCTTCTTGTTTGTTTATTATCACCGCGTGAACAGGAGTCACTGATTTGTCAGTTTTTAATTGCAACCAATCGTGCATTAAAACAAATAAAAAATAAAAATATCTTGTTACATTTACCTGCAACAACAAAAAAAATTTCGAAACTTAGCAGAGTTCTCATTCATAACTAGCCATCCGAAATTTCTATGGTTTTGATAGAGAAAACCACTTCAAATGAGTATCTCAGTATCGATTCCAAGAAACATTTCAACGAGAAGACAGTATTACTCTGTGAACAGCGCTACTTAATTGAGACTTGCATTCAGGAACTGAAACATTTTGCACAAACATAAATGATTTAAACTTAATTTTTTTTTCATGAACTTCACGTAATGCAAATTATATTGATGGGAACCTGGCGAATACCACCAGAGACAAAATAGTGCATTTTGCACTGAAAACAATCATTCTTGTCCTAGAAATCACCAAGTTGTCGAACAGCATTTCATTCGAAATTTCACTTAACGCAACCAAAGCCTCGATGACATGTTAGTGTATACCAAAGACTGTGATTCCTTGGCTGATTTATCGAATTCTGAACTCTTTTGAAACCCATCGACAACATACTGAGCTTAACTATAGTAAACACAGCATCAACAATGTCAGAATAAGGCCAATACAAGAATACCTGTTTCTGTTTGTAGAAAAACTAAGATGGCCATTCTAAAATCAGAATGAAATCTTCACACACAATCTGATTGCTGTGACATACATACATCTCTCGCTCGCTCGCTCATTCATTTACTCACTCACTCACTCACTGAACTGCTACTAACATAGCCCAGACCTGTTGACTAAGAGATATTTTTTTAACAAAAAAAATAACTCAACAAAAGAAACTGGTCATGTCTAACTAAATGAAATTACATGTCAGTTGATCTGTTTGTAAACTGGTTCACTTGTTAAATAAAGTCAGCAATGGGAGTCATTTCTTACCTTTGAGGAGACTGCTTTTAGAACACCTTCATAAATATCTCCATTTCTTACCAAAATACGTGCTGTTTCACCCTGTTAATAAGCAAAGTAAAAGTAAACTTGTGATTGCTTTTGGTTATCAATTGTAGTGGATTTTGGTTACAAATTGTGATTGCTTTTGGTTATCAATTGCAGTTGCTTTTGGTTATCAATTGTGATTGCTTTTGGTTATCAATTGAAAGGCTGTATGCAAGAACATCCCCTAGATTTTTCGGCCATTTTTGAAAGTGCTTAAAACTAGCTGAATTTTGGCATGTGGGCTTCGTTTCACCTGAGAAACATTGCTCTGAAGTTTTTTTGGCTGGGTTGCTTTTCGTTCTCAAGAAATTACGTATGCAAAAAAGGCACACAGGTTGGAAAAACCGAGTGGTTTATTGCATACGCAATATCTCAAGAACAAAGCAAACTTTAGTGCGAAAACTATGGGACATTGCTTAACATACCTGAACAAAACTGCATGCGAAATTTGGAGCGTTTTCGACAAAGTTCACTTTTGATTAAAATACCTGACGCC